GAGACTAGCCATCCATGATAGTCCTGTCGTTTTGCTATAATTTCATTGTGTCGGTCAGAGTTATTGTGCCCGCTTTGTCGCCACTGTCCAGCTATTCGATATTGATAATATCATTTAGTGGTAATTATGTTCAGTCGATCTGAGTTACAAAGCCCGTTTTACTACTACACTGGCGAGGCCCAGCATCGGTTGGTCCTCTCTATCTTCTTCTGTTAACAGACGAGACCTAGCGTCGGTTCATTTTCTCTCGCTTCTTCTATCAATCCGTGGGGCCTAGCACCTGTTGGTCTTCTCTCTCTTCTCCTATCAGTCGATGAGACTTAACACCTATTGGTTTTCTCTCTCTTCTCCTATCAATCGGTAAGACTTGATGTCGGTTGATTTTCTCTCTCTTCTTCTATCAACCAACAAGACCTAGCGTCAGTTGGTCTTCTTTCTCCTCTATCAATTGGTGAGACTTAATGTCGATTAGTCTTCTCTCTCCTCTCCTATCAGTCGGCGAGACCTAGCACCGGTTGATCTTCTCTTTTTTCCTCTATCAGTCGGCGAGACTTGATGCCGTTAGTCTTTTCTCTCCTCTTCTGTTAGTCGGTGAGACCTAGCACTGACTGGTTTTCCCTCTCTTTTTTTGTCAGTTGGCGAAACTTAGTGCCAGTTGATCGCCTTCATCTCTTCTCATCTAACACAGCCGTTGAATCCTAGCACCCACTGCTTCCCCTCTCTCCCATCTCCTGAAATAGTCAATAATGTCTAGCGCCGACTGCATCTCCTCTTCCGTATTCTCCCTCCTCTCTTCCTTTTATTCTCTCCTTTCAACTATTTCGTTCTTCTCTTTAACCATTCCTTAGTTACTCTTTCATTCGACCAAAAGGGATTGAGGTTAACATCTCATGGCGGTTCTATCGTCTAGATATAATGTTGTTGTGTCAGGTTCACTTGGCACGCTATACTGCCAGGACAGACCGACCATCGTTCTTAGCTAGTCGATATTGGCAATAGTGATCTCGTGAGTCGGTCTCTGTTACCGAGCTCGTTTCGTCACCACATTACGCCAATCATCCTCCAGCCTAGTCATTGTCCTGATCTTATCGCTTGGTCAAATTCTTCTCCCCCCCCATCTTTCTTTCTTCTTTTTGAATACGCATGCATGTGTATGCTCATCAAGGAGGAAAAGGGTGAGGCCTGACCCACCTGTCCCATAACATTTTTCCTATATGTGTGTGATTCCAGGAAAGTACAAAATAAGAAGAATACGAGCCAAGGGAGCGATTTGGAACCAGTTTTTTTACTGAGGGGCATTCTTCGTGATCTAATAGAGCGCCGACGTGAGTCAGCCTGAATAAGACCCGAACCCACTTTTAAATTCCCCTCTCACATGTTGGTAACACCTGCCCCCATTTTCGAACGAGGTTCTCGAGAGAGAGATCTCACAAACGTCTCGGGTCTCTCCTTAAACCCGATATGCGTTCCACCCAATCCTCTTGAGATCCGAAGGGCCAGATCAAGGCATCTAACTAACTTGGGGACTCCATTAGGGACTTACTACCCCTTAGTCGAATCGTTCTTGTTTGGCTAGTTTCTTCTTTATCTCCTTTCATTCTCTTTTCACATTCCCTTATGGATGTTGGGTTCCGTAACCATTTATCCGGATCGTAGATTTTTTTATCCCCTTATTCGAGAGTGTCCCTAGGGAGCAAGGTCCTTTGACTTCGTTCTCGACTATCCTCTTGAGCAAAGATCCCTTGTCTAGCTCCCAGGCCTTAACCTGAACCAGTGTGAGGAAGAACTTGAAGGTCCCTCACTCCCCATCACTTCACTCTGGTGGAAACTCCACAAAGGCACCTTCCATGGGAAGCACTTATGTTGCCCCACACGGCATGCACCCAGCCACCGGCAAGTCACTTGCCGGTCATGTTTCTGAGGTATGCTGCAAGGCTGCCCAGTCCCTTTCTACAAAACGCAAGCAAGTTGCCATTGCTTTTGTGGATCGCCATAGGGCTACCCCTCACATTCCTACACCATTGGTCTCTATCCCTAGAGGGTCAACACATCGACAAGGCTCGTGGGTAACCCACTTGAGTCACACCTCGGGGCAACCCTTCTATTGCCTCAAAACCTTATTCAAGATCAAACCTTCCAAGGCCAGATCCCGTGCATGCCACTCATGTGCATCTCACTGCTCGGGCAATGCTGTTATTGAGCCAACCCAAGTACACAGGGTACGACCTTCTCATCCTTCTCTTATGCACACACAAGCGCACTCTGTAAGGGGCAGGCCTACACCTGTTCTCCTACTGAAACACCTTCTCGTAGTTGTTGGTCTCTTAAGGAAAGTTCATTTTCCCGATCCTGGGTTGACCCTAAGGTCTCCTGTAATCCTTCTTCAAGGGGCACACATGCGTCGCCATCTCAGATGGCCCCTCGTCCTCTACTTAGGCCTCCTCATGAGTCGACCCTGCTCCTTCCTGCTCCTCCTTCATCGGCCAAGCACCTTCAGCGAAGATTTTCCCCAAGAGTACCATCCTGAACCAGCCCCAACACTTTGGTCATAGCTTTGTATCTCATAAGAGAGCTCGGGGCATGGACCTTACGGAAGATCGAGTCCTTCATCCTCCTCGGCCCAAGATGATTCCAATTCTTGGCCCTCATCCATTACTGCACCTGATGGAGACAGCTCTCTCCTGTGCAGAAGGAATTGACCAGCGACAACCTATATCACTGTTTTGGTGCAAGGTCCATCAAAACCTCAAGGCTAAACGCGATAGAGGTCTATGAATTTTGACTAGGGAGGTGACCAAGGCAGTCAAAACAACCAATTTTGATGACCCTCTTCACCTAAATCCCTTCTACCTCCTTCAGACGATGAAGCCTGAAGAAGAGCTCAATGAGCTCGATGTTGTGGTTGCTGTCGCAAAAGAAGACTCAGCCACTCTTCAGCCATAGTCTCAAGACCGTGGGGAATCGGGTCCCCAGCCACAGTCCCAAGATCGTCGAGAACCGGTCCAAACGTGATCTGCGTACAAAAGTCTAGTTCAGTCATGGCATTCTGACCCCTTACTGACTGACCTACCACGTATGACCCGTCAAGCTCACAAGCCTTCATCTGCCACTAACGTTAACCTCCCTAGAGAAACGGTCAGCATAATGGTTGCAAGCGAGCCCGGTGATGTACAGGAGGATTGCATGAACAAGTTCGAGGGTGTGGTGCATGCGATGATGTATCATATTGACGTGGCACGCCAGTCGGCTAACCATGAGGTCAATTCCCATCACTCTGATGGTGCACCTCCATGGCAGCGCCTCCATCCTCCCCACAGAACTATTCTATCCCTCTTCCGGTTTCTCAATCAGATATCGACGCTTTGGTCACCCGTAGCCTAAGACTAGATAAATTTTGGGCATACAGGGTGCGACGCCTTATAAAAGACCATATCCTTCCTATATTGATCAGGTCTCGTTCCCCTCAAACTATAAAAAGGAAAAGTTTCCTCTATTCAGCGGAACAACCTCCCCAAACCAGCATATCGCCCATTTCTAGGCAACATGTCGGAAATAGCAGCTGACAACAGACTTCTTCTCCGTTAGTTCGTTGAGACCCTTGATGGCCCAGCATTCCAATGGTATGCCCGACTTCCTCCAAACTCGGTGCATACATGGGAGGAGATGGAGAAACTGTTCTATCAATGCTTCTATGAGGTTGAGAGAGAAGTTCAAACCATTGAACTTCTCACCTTGACTCAAGACCCTGATGAGCCCGTAGATCAATTCATATCAAGTTGGAGAAACTTGGCTTCCCGCCATCCTAATCCTATGCCTGAGAAGGAAGCAATCCAAACTTGTATGTGGAACATGCGACCCGAAATCGTTCTACATGCCGAGGCCTTTAATCCGAAGTCCATGTCCGAGTTGATCTCTAAATTAGTTGGCATAGAAATTTTGTCACGCCATCGTGGTGGGGCACGACAACCATCTACAAGTTCAGCGAACAACCGCGACAATGATGGCTCTCGGAATAACACACGGGGGGGCAGCCAACAAAAAGGGGTAATTAGTGCAGCCGTTATGGTCACTGATTTAAAGAAGGATCCCTCCCAAACTTTGGACCTCTCTAAAGAGGTAAGCAGAGTGAAAGTAACACCCCAGGCTGGCAAGCAGCAATAGTTGTACAATCGAGTACCTCAACCAACCAACTTTGATTGGAGTGATTATTTCACCAGTCATAGGAATAAGGTCTATCCCTTCGAGAAGGAATGGGTCCCTGTGTTGTTTCAGTTATTATTGGAGCAGAATATGATCCAACATCTAGAAGCCAAATTCCCTGAGCAATCTGGCCTGGACACTCAAGCAAATTATTGTGCCTACCATAGGAGGATCAATCATCCCACAGATGACTGCTACACGTTGAAGGATATCATTGAGGCCCTGATTCTGAAAGGCCAGATAAAGCTTGAAGATTTAAAGAAGGCCTTCAGGGCAGCTGAGGCGTCCCATGCCATAACCATTCAAGAGGAGGACGGAATGGCAGGTATCCTCTACACCCTCTTCATTATAATGCTTTTGGAAAGCATAATCACACTAAAGCAGGCAAGGCAACCCCTTCGCCTTGTTAAGGGTACTGAAGATTGTTGGTGTCCATACCATCAGATAAGAGGTCATTTCCTGTCAGAATGTACAACTTTCCTTGACATATTCGCAAAGAAGATGTGAGAGTGTTAATAATTTTACAACCTCCCCGTAAGTGATCCCCAAATCACTTCCTCATTGGGGTAAGAAGCACTCACAAGGCAGGACCTTCCGATCAATGACTCAGACTCTGCAGAACCCTTGACTTCCCAACCATGGATGATCTACTAGGTAAGAAGTGCTTCGCCAAGCCAGCGCTGAACGCGAAGCCAGTGAGACAAATCAAATGGCACCTCAAAAAATCAGAAAGAGACGGAACCCAAAGTCTACTTATCGAAGAAACAAGACCGCTCAACCCACTCTCAAGCAAAAATTTCTCAGGCCCCTTCCTCCGTTGTCAACTTTGTTGGACTTCTTCCCCGGCATGATCCTTTTTCCTTCTTAATCCTGTTAAGAAGACATCCCCATGCCATCTTCCACTCAGCAAACATCCAATGAGGGTGACAACGTTAAAAGCACTCCCCAACGGTCTAAGCAAGGGAACGACCCAAATCCAATGAGGGTGAAAACGTTAAAAGCACTCCCCAACGGTCTAAGCAAGGGAACGACCCAAAAGGTCCCCAGCACATGTCTAATGAGGGTGACGACATTAAAAGCACTCCCCAGCGGCCTAAGCAAGGGAAAGACCTAAAAGATCCCCTTCACTCGTCCAACTTTGGCGATATCGTAAAAAACTACCCATATCTGTTTAATGAGGGGAACGACCTTAAAAGTCTCCCAGCTTCTAAACCTACTCCTCCTGCATCTCCTGCTTCTCATTCTTCCTTGTCTATGTCTCCTGCAAGTACAACCTTCATATTTTCGGACTCTGATTCTGTCGATAGAGAACTTAAGGGCTCGAACATAACTAAGAGGCAACATAAGAAATTGAGAAAGACCCTAGCGTAGGCAGCAGGATTCTTAACAGTTGCCAATGTCCTAACAGTTAAAGCCAAGGCAGAACCACCTTCATCAAATGAGTGCAAGAAGTTTGAGCCAAAGAAACCCCAGTGGCCACCTGAGCCTAACTTTGAGCAGAGATTGAGAGAGTCGATGAGGCAAAGTTTTTACTCTCAGGAAACTTGCCAAATGATACAAGTCTGTGAAGCACCAACCTGTGCGGACCAAACACTACAGATAGCTGCTCAAAGGCCGAGTCATTCGCATAGGCATACTTCTTGCACTACAATCATTCAATCAAAAGATCCCTGAAAACAACGACGAAGAGTTGGATATACGTGGTCAGGCCACAGTTAACAAACTCGAAGAAATAAATCTTGGAGATGAAGCAAACCCCAGACCTACCTTCATTTCAGCAATAATGTCTCTAGATGAGAAAGAGGAGTTCATTGCCTTCTTGAAAAAGAACTGGGAAGTTTTTGGTTGGCATTACCATGAGATGCCCGGTTTAGACCCTCATGTCGCCGTTCACCGTCTCGGCATTGATCCGACTGTCAAACTTGTCAAACAGAAATCCAAAAGATTTAGGCTTGATCTCGAAATGCAGATAGATGCCAAGGTAACCAGACTTAGACTAACAGTTTTCATTTGTGAAGTTAATAACCGAAATGGCTAGCAAATGTTGTTCCAATCAAGAAGAAGAATGGTCAAATCAGCTTCTGTATTGACTTTCGCGATTTGAATACTGCTTGTCCCAAGTATGACTTCCTGTTGCCATTCACCGAGATGCTCATCGACTCCACAGCTCATTGTCAAATCTTTTCCTTCATGGATGGATACTCCAGGTATAATCAGATAACGATGGCGCCTGAAGATGAAGAGGCTAATACATTCTTAACTCCGAAAGGGGTCTTCTATTACACAATAATGCCTTTTGGATTAAAGAATGCTGGTGCCACATACTAGAAAGCAATGACGGCCATTTTCCGAGAGATGATGCACAAAGAGGTGAAGTGTGATGTGGATGACTTGGAGGTAAAATCCAAAGAGAAGGATGCTCATACGAGAGATCTTGAAAAGGTGTTCAAATGCTTGCGTCTCCATCAGCTAAAAATGAACCCACTGAAATGCGCTTTTGGCGTGCGTTTGGGAAAATTCTTGGGGTTCATCGTCAGACATCGTGGGCTTGAAGTTGAGCTAGTTAAGATCAAGCCCATCCAAGAAATGTTGTCACCGATTTCACTTCGAGAACTGCCCTCCCTCTAAGGGCAACTGACATACATTCCCAGGTTCATCTCGAACCTCTCAGGTCATTATAAACCCTTTACACATCTACTAAAGAAAGATACACCATTCATCAAGGATGAAGCATGTCAGGCAGCCCTTGACGACATTAAGAATTACTTACTCAACCCTCTAGTACTCTCTACACCAGTATTGGGAAAGCCCCTCATTTTATACGTGACTGCTTTAAACAAGTCACTCTGAGCATTGTTGGTACAAAAGAGACTGTGCTATAATACCTTAGCCACAAAGAGCTCAGTCCCCTCATCGTCATGACTTGGGGCCACGGGAGTAGCAATCTCTTGGTGCTCGGGCGCATCATCAACTTCAGGCTCTTCTCCTCCAGCCATAGCCCCTGCCTCGGTCAAGGCACTAAACTCCGCATGCATGGAGGCCACATTGACATCTGAGCCCTTATCTGGAGCAGTTGCTTTAGAGCTTTCATCCTCCTCAGTCTCCACACGAGCCGCCTTAGACTCAGGAACTACCCCTGGACTTATGGTGTCTCTCTAAGATCCAGAGTCTGCTCCCGATCAGAACCAATTTCAATAGGCTCAGAACTATCAGAGTCATCTGCCTCAGTTTATGAAGGAAAGAAAACATTTTAGCAGAAGCAGAAGATGGTTCAGAAAGCACAAAAGGGGATATTAGAAGAAGTCTTAAAAGATCAGAAGAGAAAGGGCTACCTCCTGATTCTGACACCACATGAAGCTTGTCACCCTTTCGCCTCCGAATACACCCACTATCTAAAGACACTGCATGGGTGTCCGCAGCAGTCGAGCGCTTTCTTTCCTTTTCCCCTGCAGGAGTAAGAGCCGCAGCCTCAAATCCACCTCCTTGAGAAGACGTTCTAGCCAATTTGCCGTGGAGATCGCTCCCAATTAGGGCATTCAGGTCCTATGGTGGATGCTTCTCATAACCAAGGACTTGTCGCCCCTCATCCCATTCGAAGATCAAGCTAAGATTGTCGAAGACATTCCCAGTCATCGCCTTCATTACCAGGAACTATGGCGAGGCCTCATCAGTAGGTACCTCACGAGGAAGCCCCAAAGCCCATCAGTTAGAGGGATAATCCAAGGAAAACACCATGTCGGGAGGCTAGAGGATGTAGCAAGAGCATCCTCTAGCCTCCTTTGTCGGGTGTCCTTGCACCAGTTACCGTTCATCCCTTTCCAAGGGTGATCCTTATCCCAATAGCCCCTACTGGTGATTCTCCACTAGTACACATATGACTTGGTTGTTCAAACTCTCTTACCAAAGTGAGCTAGCACATATTTACTGGTTTCTGTCATTTAAAGGCACATGGACCAAGCAATCTGCATATGCTCCGGCAGCCAACACTCTTGAAAAGTTCCAAACTCTTCAGCCCTCCCCTTATACACCTTACTTCGGTGCTTCTTAAAGAATGTCGAAAAGGGGCAGCCTTGGTCAAGCCTGTGCTGACAGGTGACACGGTGGGGAAAATACCCTTCTAGTCAGGCACTGTGTGGGGTCCGATAAGGTAAGACTCCCATTCTGATGCTCAGCATGAACATGAGTTCCTTAATCGTTGTTGGGACACCATCCAGTTCTTTTCCATATTCATCAACGAAAGCACGGTCGGTGAAGCTGCCGACCGGAAAATTGACTCTCCTTATGTTCAAAGAATCATTCCTGAACAGACCCCAAGCCTCCCCTAGGGTATGGAAGATAGGCCTCTGATTAGCAATCTTCATCAGGAAGGGCCACAATTTTTTTCCTCAGCACCGATGCTTGACATAGGTGTTAAGGAAATAAGCCCCTAGCCACCCGTACACATAATGCACAGGGAACAGAGTTTTAAAATCTTCAGAAAGAGCTTCTCCTCCTATGATGTCGTTACCTCCCTCTTTACCCTTATAGGCTTTTCCATGGGAGATAGCCCCCAAGCCATGGTATATGTTGCACCGGACTGCCTAAGCAAGGGCATACTCACACCCTCTGGCCATGTCGCGTGCCACGTACAGTACCCATGGACGAATGTCGTCTCCCCAGCCAGGGAACACGAATTTGCACAAGAATAAGGCCAGGTAGGTGGCCATGAAGACACGGTCATCACCGGTCTCGAGTTGATATATGGGAGGTGTCTCTATTGCAACTGCCTTCCCTTTCCCCTTCGTAGTACCCTGACCGCCCTCATGCTAATCCCCACAAAAGAATTTCACCCATTCTGTAAAGGTGAGCCTTTCATTGGTACATCGGCCTACAATCGACTGATAGGCCTCAAAGATCTTTGGAAGACTGGTCGGTGGCTCTTCACCCCTCAAGTTAACACTACTGAAGATGACTGAGTGTGAGGGCACAAACTCGTTATACATGGCTCCGAGCATTGGGAGACCTCCAATAAAGTGAAGATCTAGTAAAGAGATTCCTGCTTCGACATGACCAAGAAGCCAAGTATTTCTCACATGGCTCCATGTCTCCAGCAATGCCTTTATTATATTAAAGCAACGATCGTAGTAGCTGCTCGAACATTGAACCGCTGCTAATAGCGAAGCACGCTCAAGAACGCTTCCATACGAAGCCAATACCTTGATAGTCCAGGAAGTGTATCCCTTCAGGTATTGGTGCTCTCTTAGAATCCAGAGGCCTTTTGTCGACCACCTTAGTAATCCCTTTGCCTAGACCATTCATTGGCAAGTTCTCACTGGATGCATACAGTGAAGAAGTGCCATCCCTTCTTCAATACAGAGATTGCCATCATGCCCTCCCACATTTCACAGCATATGGGGTCAGTAATGAAAGTGACGTTAAGAGGCCACTCTGGCTGGTACACTGGCTAGGTCAGCCAAATGGGTTCACCCCTTCATAATACTTCACTTGCAAAATCATGAGAGTTGATTTCCCCTTCCCTTGGGAGACTCTTCACATCGGGGATTTGGTAGAAAGAACTAGCCATTACAAAGGACTTAATTGTTCACTCCTAAAAAGTTGCTAAGGCACTAGAATAGCGCCAGTTCAGTCTGTCCAACACTCAGCACCAGTTGAACCACTCAAACACTTAGCACTGGTGAGCTCCTCAAATGCCCAGCGTCAGTCGCGTGTTAACGATGAGCGCCGGGTCAGTTTGTCAAACACTCAACGCCAGTCGAGCTTCTCAATAATCAGCGCCGGTTAAACACCAACAACTAGCATTGGTTGAGTCTTTCAGCACTCACTCCGGTTCAAATTGCCAACACCCCAGTGCCAGTTGAGTTTTTCAAAGGCCAGTGCGGGCTGAGAGCAAATCACTCACTCGTGCCACGAATCCTAATCGTGACAGCTTGAATTCAGTTGCACCGATTGATAGCTATCACCACGTCCTTTGGCGCTACCTCACACATGAGTGATTAATAACCGTATGCTTTCTAAGGATGATAGTTCACCTTCAGCAACCGTACGCCTTCCCCATGATGGTACACCTCCTGCAGTTGTACGTCCAACCTCCTGTGACCGTTCAACTTCCACCAAAATTGCTCCCACACAGCCAAAAACTCATGGGAAAAATTTATCGCCAACTTATTTTAGCCTGGACTTCACCAGAACCTCATTAGGAAACCTCTGCAACACCACTAACAGTGTCAAAAAGTGGAGATAACCTGAGTAAACCTCTTGAAAGTGCATGGAAACTTCTGGAACACCATGACCAGTGCTGGAAAACTTCCACAATCGTCAGCAAACCCCTTAAAAATCCCCTGAAAGATCTCAAGACATGCGAAAATACTCACTGATGTGTTTCTCGCCTCTTCCAATTAGAAAAACGACAGTTGGAGCCTCCTCTTCTTCCCGAAAAGATTCTCAGAAAGGTCTCCGTCCCCCGTCACTTTCTCTTTAAACGCACTGAATTCATGGCAAAGTTTGTTTGCCGAAGGGTCTTTTCTGCATAAACTTTGCTAGAATCTTGCAGTCTGCCGAAGGTTCTTCGCTGCAGAAACTGTTGCTGAGCTCCCACTGCTCCTCGGAACTTCAACCGGGCACACCTTCTCCTCACTGCTGAAGAAACCCGTTGCTTAAAGTTTTTACCCTTGGCAAAAAATAAGGGAAAACAGAATTTTACCGCCTTATATAGCCTGCGCTACCCTCAAGTGCCCCTCACAAACTCAAAATTACAGTTGCGTCCAAGGGGAGCCAAGCAACAATGAGCCGGGTCGATCTCAACACGAGTTCTGAAGTAACTCTCATCCCCAGTGCCAGGTGAGTTTCCAAATACGTCCCTAGCACTTGTTGACCTAGCGCCAGGTGTGTTTCCAAATACAACCCTAGCGCCGGTGGACTTAGCGCCTGGTGCGTTTTAAAATACAACCTTAGTGCTGGTTGACTTAGCGCCGAGTGTGTCTCCAAACAACGCTAACGCCGGTAAACATAGCGTCGGGTGTGTTTCCAAATATGACCCTAGCACTGGTTGACTTAGCGTTGTCTGTGTTTCCAAATACAACCTTAGCACCGATTGAGTTAGTGCCAGGTGTGTCTCCAAAATGACCTCAGCTGGTTGTCTTCAGATAATACCATGGGTCATTCACAACAACAGCTGAACAACGCCGGGTGTGTTGTGAGAACTCAACGCCGATTGAACATTCGCAATAAAACCATTAGTGTTGCATATGGCGACAGCCGTATTTCATGCAGTGTATGCCTTACCACTATCCCAAGTGGACTTGTACCCAAGCCAGGATGTATCACCCCTAGTGGACTTACACCTAAAACTGTGACTTCCCTAATGGAGTCAGGAGCTGTCCCTCATCCCCCACTAGAAGTCACACTCATACTACGGCCCATCATCCCCAGTGAAGTTAGGGTAATTTTTACTTCCCCAATCCCTCAGCTTCACCCTAACCTACCTTATCCTCAGGGAGTCGGGTTACCTGTCATAAGTCAATTCTCCATAAAGTCTCATCTTTCACTCTAAGGGGTAACACTTACCCCCCAATCACCAGTGAAGTCCGCCTTTGTTAGCCAACCTTCATCAGGTCATCATTTCCATATGAGCCCTCTGCTTGTGTATGTCCATAACAGTTTTATCCCCAGGGGGTCAGATTGCCATCCACAGACCTATTCCCCATTGAGGTCCCCCAACATGGCGATCCAGCCTCGGTCTATAGTGCATGATTCTAAACTGCTTAGCCTCGGTCCATAGTGCATGATTCTAAACTGCTCAACCTCGATCCAAATTGCATAACCCAAAATTGCTTAGACTTGCTCCAAACGTCATGCCCCTAAACTGCTCAGCCTCGGTCCATACTGCATGACTCTAAACTGCTCAGCCTCTGTTCATACTCCATGACCCTAAACTGCTCAGACACGGTCCATACCGTATGACCCTAAACTGCTTAGCCTCGGTTCATACTGCATGACCCTTAACTGCGCAGCCTCGGTCCATCATGCCTGACCCTACACTGCGCTTCCTCAGTCCATACTGCATGTCCCTAAACTGCTCAGCCTCAATCCATATTGTAGGACCCTAAATTGCTCAGTCTCGGTCCATACTGCATGACCCTAAACTGCTAAGCCTCGGTCCATACTGCATGACCCTAAACTTCTTAGCCTCGATCCATACTGCATGACCGTAAACTGCTCAGCCTCGATCCATACTGCATGACCCTAAACTGCTCGGCCTCAATCCATACTCCATGACCCTAAACTGCTCAACCTCAGTCCATATTGCATGACGATAAAAACTGCTCAGTCTTGGTCCATACTGCATGACCCTAAACTGCTCAGCCTCGGCCCATACTGCATGACCATAAAAATAACTTAACCTCGGTCCATACTGCAGGACCCTAAACTGTTAAACCTCAGTCCATAC